CCTGACGCGCGACCGAGGGTAGAGGGGTAGCGTGGGACACACCAGACGGGGCAGGACCAGGGGGGGGCGGGGGTACCGGAGGAGCGGGAGCAGGAGGAGGAGAGGGTGCTAGGAAAAGGGGGGGAGGGGGTACCGGGAGACCTCGACAGGGGTACCGGGTGTAGTAGGACACGGACTCGTCAAACCGGACGTCACGGGAGTCTAAGAACTGGTAAAAGGACCAGTCGGCAGAGTCCACCGGGAAACCAAGGAAGACACAGGGGACGGCGCGTGCCGAGAGCTTGTCCGCAAAGGTGTCGCGAACAAGCGCAAGGCAGCCCTGGACACAAAAGGCCGACCCAACACCAGGGGACCCGGTCCAAAGACTGGTCGGTGAAGCCTCGGGCCGCGAGACGCGCGGCTGGAGGTTCAGCTGGTGTGCGGCATAGCAAAGCGCGTAGGGCCACAGAAAATGGGGCGCACGGGCATGGATCATGGACGTGCGAGCGATGTCCATGACCAAGCCAATGCGGCGCTCAGCAACCCCATTCTGCTGTGGGGACTCTGGAAGCGTCCAGGACTGTACGATGCCCTGTTCGCCGCAGAATCCGCTAAGAATGCCGGAGCGAAACTCGCCCCCATGGTCGGAGTCTAGACAACTGACACGACGACCACGAGTGCCCTCAGTGGCCAGAAGCCACCGGATCAGTGTAGCAGTCACCTTGGACTTCTTCACTAGAGGAAACACTATGGTGTACCTGGAGAAGTCGTCGACGACCACCAGAAAGTAACGCTCCCTCCCAGATCCGTGCATCGGGGCAGGGCCCCAGACGTCCAAGTGGAGAGTCTCGAAGGGAGCATTGGCCGGACGAAGGGAGGAGGAGTGAGGAGTGGCGCGTAAGCGACCGGCGACGCAAGGAGTGCAAGGGGGAGCAGGTGAGGTAGGGAGCGACGGAAAGGTGCGTGGGAGACCTGTGACAAGCCCCTGGCTGGTCATGCCGCGGAGGCGGGGGATCGACGGGAGACCAAGGTGGTGGTGCCACAAGACGGTCCGGTGGGTGAGGGAGCGACAGGAGCAAGACGCAGCAACCGGACAGGACACCGCGACCGGACTAGACACTGCAATTGGACCAGACACGACCACCTGGCTAGACACAGCAACCGGACTGGACACCTGGACTGGAGGGGACGCAACGACCTGAGCGGAGGACGCAACCGGGGAGCGCTCGGTGTGGAGAACGTAGAGACCAGAGCGGGGCTCCCTGGTGAACGTGGCCAGAACAGCACCTGTGGTAGCGTCTGTACAGATCGCAGTCCTCCCACCCCCCACAAAGGTAACCGTGATCCCCCTGTCCTGGAGGTAACCAACACCCACCAAGTTCCGAGTGAACGAGGGGATGTGGAGGCCGCGCAGGACACCAGAGGGGACCACAAGACACGGGAGGGTAGTGGAGCTACGCTCAACGGCTGGTCCTGAGGTAGGATCAGCCAGAGCTACCGAAACAGGAGTGAGGAGTGGCATGAGGGTCGTGTGGTCGCGGAAGAAGCACTGAGACGCACCAGAGTCCAGTGTCAAGGACAGGGACGCCTCAGCCGGAGGGTCACCTGTCCTAGTGGCTACACAAGCACCTAGAGCAGCAACACAAGCACCTAGACTAGAAAGGCACAAGTCTACACTAGCAGGAGGCAAGCAAGCTAATCTACAAACACGCGAGCACACAGATCCATCAGCACTATAGTCAACATCAGCATACAAAGCATGCTGACGAGCATCGTCCATGGACAGTTCAAACACATCAATCTTACGGGCTAACAGGCGAGCCCAGCGAGGCGTGGTCGCCGCAGGGCCCCAACGAGCACGGTAGAGGTCGTCGAGGCGGCGGAAGCACCGCGCGGCAGAGTGGTCGTCGCGACCGCAGAGACAGGGGCTGCCGGTCCGGTGAGGCACCAGTGGGTGCAGGGGCCAGTGTCACGGCGAGGAAGGCGAGGGGCCCAGCTGGAAGTACTGCCGCTGCGGCCGTTGCTCCCTGGTCCTCCCAGACCCCACTGCGGCGGGGGGCCCCAGTGCTGCTGCGGACCCCACTGCTGGAACTGCTGCGGTGCCTGCTGCTGCTGCGGTCCCTGCTGCTGCTGCTGTCCCTGCTGTGGGTGGTGCTGCTGCGACTGCTGCTGCTGGGGTCCAGCACCCCCACCGGTCGGGCCACCGCCAGTGGGCGGGCCTGTCTGTCCTGCACCTCCTCCAATACCCCCTCCTCCTGGTGCACCACCGCCGCCGCCGCCGCCGCCTCCACCACCGCCGCTTCCACCTCCACCGCCACCTCCACCGCCACCTCCACCGCCTCCACCTCCCCCCTTCCCGCCCTTCGTGCTACTCTTGCCCCGTTTCTGCCAGTCTGCGGCAGAAACGGCAGCAGTGTCCTCAGAAACCGACACAGCAGCAGAAGCGCGGGTAGCAGTGAAAGTGGGAAGCTGAGGGGGGCCACCGCGTCAGTGGCGGAGGCAACGGTGAGGAGGCTACTCTCGATCGTCCCGAGAGCGGTCTCAAGGAGATCGATAGTGAGCTCATTGGGGTGCTTCTGGAGAAGCGCGTCGCGAGCAGTGGCAAGGCGGTCAGGGAGGCGGGTGACTAACCAGTGCACAGTGAGCCACATGGGGGGGGGAGCAGCAAGAAGCTGGGCGTCGGTACAGGCCGCACGGAACCGGCGTCAAGTGAGCGGAGGTGAGTCACTAGGTCGGACACAGTCGCAAACGAGCCGAGGTCGGGAAACACGAACGGCATGAGGAGGGGACTGAGGGAGGCAGAGGAAGGGGTGGAATAGCGTGCAACAATAGCATCCCAAACCCCCTGAGCTGTTTCCACCTTGTCAAAGTGGGCGGCCTCAGTCGGGGGGAGGAGCTCCGTCAGCGCAAGAGCGGCGGCAGCGTCGCGGGAGTTCCACGCGTCCCTCGCCAGGACCCGACGGTCGTAGTCCGCCTGGGCCGCATGAGTCGGCTCAGGGCCGTTCGGGAGGGGGGCGGGGGACTGGGGCGCCTTGAGGGCACCAGACGCGTGGGCCCACAGGGTGGCGCCGTCCTGACGCTGACTGGTGAGGTAGCGCGTGGTCTGGCGCTGCCAGGTACTGAACTCGATCGGGCGTCCCTTCGCATCAAAACGAAGGCGGCGGGATTCCATAATGGAGGCCATGCTAGAGGCGGCTGGAGCACGGAGGAGAAAAAAAAACACGGAGTCCTAGGAGCGCCAGTGGAGACTAAGGTAGAGACCGGCGGAGGACTGAGCAGACTAAGCGAGGCGGGAAACTGGAGGCTAGGAACTAGGCTAGAGACTAGTCTACATAGGGTCACCAGGGAGAGGAGCGACTGCCAGCCGCTGAGCAGAAAGCTAGTGACAGTAGGGACGGTTTGGGCCCGGTGAACAGGGCGGTGGAGGGGTTAACCCTAAAATGATCATGGGCCTGGTGAGAGTTCGGGCCGGGCGGCGCACGGCGAGGGCTAGTGCTAGCGGAAGAAAGGGGCGTGAGCAGAGGGCGGGCTGGTGCGCGGTCGTGCACTAAGGGGGGGCGCGGATTCGCGGAGGCGCGGAGGCGGAGGCGCGATGTGCGGAGGCGCGGAGGCACGAGGCGGAGGTGCGGATGCGCGAGCTAGGGCGGGGGCCTGGGCGACGGACTAGGGCGCGGGTCTGGGCGACGGGCAAAGGCGCGGGCCTGGGCGACGGGCTAAGGCGCGGGCCTGGGCGACGGCCTAGGGCGCGGATCTGGGCGACGGGCAAAGGCGCGGGCCTGGGCGACGGGCTAGGGCGCGGGCCTGGGCGACGGGCTAGGGCGCGGGCCTGGGCGACGGGCTAGGGCGCGGGCCTGGGCGACGGGCTAGGGCGTGGGCCTGGGCGATGGGCTAGGGCGCGGGCCTGGGTGACGGGCTAGGGCGCGGGCCTGGGCGACGGGCTAGGGCGCGGGCCTGGGCGACAGGCTAGGGCGTGGGCCTGGGCGACGGGCTAGGGGCGCAGGCTAGGGGCGCGGAGGGCGCTAGGCGCGGAGGTCCGCGACGGCGCAGGCTAGGGGCGCGGAGGGCGCTGGCGCGCGGAGGAGGAGGGCGCTAAGGCGCGGAGAGGGCGCGGAGGGCGCAGAGGCTAAGGCGCGGGGGGCGCGGAGGGCGCGGAGGTGCGCTAGAGAGGGCGCGGGCTATGAAGGAACGAGGAACTAACCTACTCGTGATACCATCTCAAAGTAGGAATGCAACGGAATGGATGAACTAGCAAAGTGTTGGATACAAATAGGAAACCCTAACATATGTACCCTCTAGAATGCAACTCACTACAGCCTATAACTATGATAGTTGACATTGAGATCCACCCTGAGCTTGCTTTGATTCTTGTCTTGACTGGTCTTGTGACCGTTTGTCTGCCTTGCTTGTTCTTATGCCCCTCACTTAGCCTATGGGGGTGTGTCAAATATCATAGTTATAGGCTGTAGTGAGATGCACTCTAGAGGGTACAGATCTTAGGGTTTCCTATTTGTATCCAACACTTTCTTTGTTCATACATTCCGTTGCACTCAGTTCTTAAGACAAGAACACACGCTTACACCAGCAAGTGATTAGATCTGGTGACTAAAATGTTAAGACATAAGATTGGGATACCCTGCTTAAACCCTTGGGTCCTCTACACAATATCTTCCGTATAAATTGCTTGGAACCTGCAACAAGCTCCGCAGCCATAGGTCTATCGAATCACCCAAGAAACGCCACACAACCTGACAACTCCTACCTACTGTCATTCCCTTCCTCCTCACAGACACATCTGTCCTAGAAAAACGTAGGAGAATGTGCGAAGGCAGTGGTAGGCATGTGTTTTGAGCATCTCCTCCTATTCCAGCAACATGTTTCTAACATCTCGTGCACAGCAGCAGTTGCAGCTCCTCCCCTCTCCTGCTCCCACCTCGCAATTCCCGTCCTCTTCCATCTGTCCATCTGTCAACCACGTGTCAAGTTGCACATCTGCCCTTCAACGCCCCCTTCTCTCCCCGCTGCTACTTCCCCCCGCGGGTCATGTTGGCCATCTGCCCACGCACAGCCCCCTGGGGGAACGCGGAGGTGGCGATGAGAGCGTGGAAGGAGGCGAGGGCAGCGAGAATGCTGCTCACAGCCGCAGCCACAGAGCCGCCCGCAGCGGCGGAGAGGGACGACGCGTTGGCCCACACGCCCCTGGCGCCGTAGCTGAAGCGTGCAGCCGCAGGGGGGGCAGCAGCGGTGGCATTGGTGGCGCGATGGAAGGGGCGGGTGGTGTTGGTCCAGGCGGAGGCGGGGAAGGCGAGCAGCAGCGCGGCGGAGGCGGAGGAGGCGGGGTCTGCGTGGATGGAGGTGGCGGTGGGAGGGGAGGGGGAGGAGAGGTGCGCGAGGGAGAGCGAGTAGTGCACGTCCATGTCAGTGGCCGTCCTGGGATGGGGGGGAGGGGAAGGGGGGTGAGGAGAGAAGAGGGAGGGTCAACAAAGGAGGGGTGAGATGGAGTGTAAGTAGCAGAGGAACGAGTTGCATTTTACGTGCAGAGGAAAGAGGGCTCAGATGCAAGTGCAGGGAGGGGGTGGAGACTCAGGTGGTGGCAGAGAGAAGGAGAGGCAGCGGCGCTCACTTGACAAGCCTCAACTCCAGCCGCCCTGTGCCATTCGCCATGCCTGCTGACCCCACCATCTGCTCGCCACTCATCCGCGCGCCCACCACACCTGCCACGCGCAAGCAACGCGTCAACTCAACCGGCTTGCCAAAGGTTGCAGCAATGACTGAACATAACAGGTGCATGTGGTGGTCACAAGTAGCCAATAAGACGTCAGCAGCATGTGGTGGTGCACTGACGCATTCGCACTCACCAATCACACTGCCTCCTCGCCCGCCACGCCCGCCAACAGCACCGCTGCCCTCCTTGCGCAGCCCACCAGCAGCAGCAGCACCACCCCGCTGCGGCCTCGTGCCATTCACGTGCCTCGTGTCATTCACAACGTGCCCCTTCCCTCCCATCCCACGAGTTCCGTTCGCTGCCGCATGACCATCAACCGATCTCTGCTGCTTCACGCCCATCGTCTGCTGCTGTCCCTGCCGCTTGCTGCCAGCCGTCTGCCCTGCCGGCTGCTGCGAGCGGGCTGGATTCTTTCCAGACGTCCCACTCGCACCTGAGCTGCCCGCCCGCTTGCTGCTACTAGCAGCCTTGTCCCTCGCCTCGCCTGCCGCCGGCTGCGAGCGGGTCTTGCTGGCGACTTCCGCGAGGACTGGAGGGAAGGGAGGCGGTGAGGGAGGATGAAGGAACAAGACAGGCATGAGCCCGGGTCGGAATCAAATTAAATCGTAGAAAGGATGCTCGTACAACTCGTACTCGAACAACCAAGTTGACAATTTCACAATGGGCTTGCATCCCAAAATTCATAGCGCAAAAATCACCCTCGTGGGGTTACCCACAACTTCCCAGCAAGTGCCCCGGACGTTACCCCTGAGCAATTGCAACGTCAGCAACTCTCAGTGAGCTCGTCGCGCACCTTCGTAAGAGAACAATCGACCAATAAGGAGGCTGGTCAGTTCGTTGGGATACCCCGAGGATACCCCCCAGCTCCTGAGGACGAATCAGCACCAATCAGAACCTCGCTTCACTCTGCCGAGCCAGCCACGTTCGGCAATCCCTCATGGAAGGTACACTTCGTCTCACAACATGCTGGAATGATTTATATTAGATTTGTTTTCTATTCTGATTCTGTTTTCTTATTGCATCGCTCAATATGTCACATACAGTGATGGGTTGGGTTACGTGGCACATTGTTGTTCACCAACCAATCACAGAACTTCGTTATTGCAACTTCTATTGCCTCTCCTCTCCCAGCACCTTCAGAATACTTATCCACCCTTCTACTAATGCAATCTGTCATTTCTGTTTCAGTTTCTTCTCAAGATACACACTTAGAGCAGCTACTACGAGGCCTACTCGCAGCGTACTTAGAACGACAAGCAGCTTGTAACGATTAGCGCTGGTGAGATGTTAACTGTGGTCAGGTCCCGCGTTGAACGACAAGCTGTTCACGAGCGGTAAATGCAGAGCGGCGTCGTGATCAATCATGTGAGCTACTCAACACGGGAGTCCCTCAATTCCCCATGTCGTGCGCCACGAGTTTCTGCGAGGTACGATCGTTGTGTGCTCTTATTTCTTACTCGGCGGCGCTTAAGAGTATTACGCACTGTCAAAGCCGCATGTGATCCGTGTCTTTCTAACAATTTATGTGCAGTGAAGCTCCAAATAGTGCTCGTCGTGAGGTAAGCTACCCGCCTGTGATTTTTCTGACATGCTGACGATGGGATTGCAAGATGAACTCCGCTCATTCCGTTTGCTTCGTGGTGCCACTCTGTGCAGAATACGCAAGTCGATCCTGTCACACTGTCACGCCCTCGTGAGGTGAGAATTTTGCGTGACGCCATGTCGCTTTTACGTTTCCTGAGTTCATATGGGTTCGTTCCTGTTTTCAGTCGTTTTGTGTGTTGCAGGAGCACAACAATATAACTTTGCCACTGCTGAGCTATGCGCAGGAACTCTCACAGAGAGAATCATAGTACATAAATCATGGTGCACGTTTTGTGCATGGTGGAACTTGTTCAGTTTGTAAACCTGTATATTTGAGAAGTGATAAGCAAAATATGTTTGCTTTATATCACATAAAAATGTTTGATTTCCAATATTGTATAAGCTCATTATGATCAAATTTAGTTGTGGCTACATCAGGATTATATTTTTTTATAACGACTCTAATGGATTGCTATCAATACTAAATGTAGTTATACCACGATCAATGTCTTATGTTGATCAATTATAATGAATTGCACTGTATAATAATATTTTTTCTACAGGCGGTGATTTTCACAGCGCGTACGCGGCTTGCTTACTATTCGTTCCCACAAGTTGGGAAGGTTTCAAAGGGGTCACACGAGGGTTTCTTGTGGGTGACGTGAGGGTTACGTGTGGGTCACCACCTGTAGGTAACCTCGGGGTCACCACACGAAGTGGTTGTTAGAATCCTAAGCTAAGTTAGGGCTTAGGTTTTAGGAAGGAGAAATGAAAGAAGAGGGTTTGCACTAGCAGGCAGGTGGAATACATATTGGAAACCCTAAAAGGGTTGTACTCACTGTTGAGTACCCCACTACAGCCTACACAAGAAATAACAGTTTGACAGTTGTTGCCTAGGTTACCCGCAGGTCACCTAGACAAGGACCCCGGGGTATCCCGCCCCGGGGTAAGCTATGGGTAACCTGGGGGGAGGTTTTTGGGCGAAACATTGTTGGGATTTGCGAGGATTCGCAGATTCGTCGGAACGGGCCTCCTGATGTGACGACTGAACGAACGCCATGACGAGACGAGTGAATGCGACTCACTGGCCATGGCGACGAGCGCAAGCAGCGCGAGAAGAAGGAAGCGCCGCGTGGAAGCCATGATGCCTCCTGGCGTGAAATCGATAAACGCGAAAGCTGGAAGGTGAGAGCAGAGGGGAGCACAGCGAGAAACTGATCGGGGAATCTAGGATCGTAGACGTCTCAGATGCTGATTCTAACCGAAGTCGTAATGTAGACAGAGTATATTCGAGAGCGTCAAAGCACGGTACTCAGGGGGAGCAGTACGAATTTTCACTAACCAGTTCAAGCGGTTGATGAGAGGATCCATCACGACTCTGCTTTTATAGAAGGTTCAATCTGGACGAACGTGATTTGGCATCGAATCGCCTTGCCAGTGAACAATTTCGAGACATTCCGTGTCGCGAATGTCAAATTCGGAACGGAACGGAAGCCACCGACAGATTGGGAGCATAATTCACTAGTGACCGGCCTGGATGATCGCGGGTTAGATCACAGATAACAACCGACACAGCTAACTCCCCCTGAAAATTTATGGCGGGAAGAGAGAATTGTGGTGGATGAGAGAAAATGAGTTGTGGTGGATGAGGGAATGTAGGGTTGACCAGTCCAAGCAGGTGTGTCTTGGGGAGCACGTACGCCGTACCGAAAGGGTTCGGTATAACGAGACAAATTATATCGAAAGCGGATTCGTTCACATGCTGTGAATTCAGAAACTCATCTCTCATCACAATAAGTAGGCTTCTAGAAACTATTTGAAGTAATCTAGCGTACATATTTTGACTACTGAAATGTGAAACAAGCCTCAACATTAACAAACTCCTAAAAAAAAAATGTAGTTCAATATACCAGTTAGTGACTATGATGTGTCGGTATAAGGAATTTTCCGACATTTCCTTACCGCGCACTCTCAAAATGTATGAAGAACGGAATGATGAAACTAGAATGTAAAGAGGTACAAATATGCAACCCTAACAACTGTACCCCCTAGTAGGTACCTCACTACAGCCTATTATGTTATTACATTTTGACACACCCCCATAGGCTAAGTGAGGGACATCAAAGAGACAAACAAGCGACAGCAAATGGTCACAAGACCAGTCAAGTGCAAGCAACAAAGCAAAGCTCAGGGTGGCGCTCAGAGTCACCACACACTCCGAGCACAAGCAAGTGGCCACAAGGCCAGTTCAACAGTTTACTAGTATATATAGAAGCAAAACAAGGAAAGCAAACAGTAAGCTACAGCAACCGAGGGCCAACCTCAACAAGTCATAGCTGCACACAGAACCTGTGGTGGTCACCAGGCGCCAAGGCGTTGGTGAAGACGTCGGCAGTGTTGGCCTCTGAGGCCACAAAGTCCAAGCGTGCCTGGTCGCATCGTTGCAACTCTCGAAGGAGAAAGTACTTCACGTCAATGTGCTTCTTTCTCCTCTCCAGTCGAGGCTCTCGACAGAGCAGGATCATGGCCTTGTTGTCAGCGTACAAGGTCAGTGCAGAGCGAGGCCGCTCACCAAGGTCGGCGAGCAAGAAGGTCAACCAACGAAGCCCCTGTGCCGCCATGGCATCAGCGTAGATCTCTGCCTCAGCACTGGACAAAGCCACAGACGACGACCGTGTGGACCTCCACGACACAGCACCAGCACCTCGACTGAAGCAGTAACCCTGAGTCGAACGCTGAGTCTCCACGTCGTCAGCGTAGGAATAGTCGCAGTGACCGGTCAACTCAATTGGCTGAGTCCTTCCAAGCCCAAGCCCCATGCTTGATGTAGTCGCCAGGTACTTCGCCACCCTCACAGCAGCTGTCCAGTGAATATGACTGTGTCTCCCAGTCGCAACAAAGCGAGAGAGGACGCTGAGGGGAAATGCGAGGTCCGGCCGAGTACAAGTCATCAAGTACATGAGGCAGCCCACAAGCTCTGCGTAGGGACCACTGGACTCAAAGGGCTCGTCGGGAAAGGGGCCTGTGAGTCGGTGGTCAACAGCAAGAGGAGTGGGCTGGGTGGTGGAGAACTGAAACTCGAACCCCCGAAGGACCTGCTGCACCATGTGTGACTGCGTCAACGTGATGGTGCGAGCGGCTCTGTCCCTGGTGATCTGCAGGCCAAGGTAGCGCTGCAGTTCACCGAGGTCAGTGCACGTGTGTCTCTTTTGCAGTTCGGATTTCACCTCAGCCAGAGCTGCCCTGTCTGCTGTAGCAAAGACCAAGTCGTCGACGTAGACAATTATAAAGAAAGGAGTGGAACCAGCGCGAACAAACAGCGACGGGTCTTGAGAAGAAGGACGAAACCTCAGGTCACGAAGCGTGGAGCGAAGAGTGTCGTGCCACTCACGGGGCGACTGGCGGAGACCGTAGACTAGTCGCCTCAGGCTCCACTGGGTCCCAGGTGGGAAGGTGTCAGTGAAGCCAGGAGGACGCCGCAGCCAGATCTCCTCGTGTAGGTGGCCCTGGAGAAACGCAGTGGAGAAGTCGAGGGAGTGCAACTCGTAGTCTTGCTGTGCTGCTACGTGCAGTAACACCCGAAGAGTAGTCATCTTCAGAGTCGGGGCAAAGGTCTGGAAGATCTCAACTCCCTCATGCTGACTGAAACCCCTAGCCACGTAGCGTGCCTTGAACACAGGCTCTGATACCATCTCAAGAAGTTCGCAGAACGGAATGATGAAAATAGAATGTGAAGAGGTACAAATATGCAACCCTAATAACTGTACCCCCTAGTAGGTACCTCACTACAACCTATAATGTTATTACATTTTGACACGCACGTCAACAATGCGTACAAGACCGACCGTTTCTTCGCCCGTTACTGCTCACGATGTTCGCCACATTCGCGCGTCACTTTTGCCAAGCCTCGCACTGCAGGACTTGGCCGAGTCAGCCTATGCTTCGGGACTAGCCCGAACCTCGCTGCCAACATCGCATTAGCTAGTTCGCGCGC